TTGTTTGAGGAGGTGCCACTTAGGCAATCTCAATTGAGCCGTTGTGCTCACTCCTCTACAATTTTTCAGGTCACGGGATTGAGCTGGTGGGTGTTGAGCTTCCACGAACACGGATGGGGTTGGACTTATATCACATTGTATTAAGATATATATTTTGTGAATCTTAAACAATTCTATGTAATCGTTTTATTGTTATAATTTGACAATGTATCCGTATTTTTAGACAACAATTTGATGTATTTTGTGTATGGCTATGGAAGTATGTAATAATCATGATGGTTTATTGGGATGGGTGAGATGACTATGGGTTATTTGATTAATTTCATTGATGATGATGACTCATGATGTGTATCATTATTGTTGTGAGGTTGGGATAGGTTGGGCACTGGGTTTGGCTCACAAAGAGCCTAGAGTTTTTAAACATTCAGGCTGCACATAGCTGCATTCCAGGGCTCATTAGCCGACTGGCAAGGCATGTCAGCCGACTAACAGGCATCTCGAGACCATTCCATTGAGTTGTGTAGTTGAGAAGTCTTATTTCGGCCAACCGAACCTCACCATCGGTCGACCGAAACTCCATCATCAGTCGGCCGACACTTCATCACCAGCCGGCCGACACTTCATTTTTTAGAAGTCCCGGGAGTAAACAATTTTGGAGATCATTTCAGCCGGCCGAACCTTACTTTTAGTCGGCTGAAGGATCATTTTACCAAAGTCTCGAGAGTGAGCAGCTTTGGGAGTCGTTTCGGCCGACTGACTATCTCAGTCGGGCCGACCATGCATTCTCAGCCGGCTGACCTTTCCATTGACCCGGCTGATCCTTCCATTGACTTGGTTAACCTCTCCATCAGCTGGCTGACCTTATCCATTGACCTGTACTTTGACTTCTCCTTCTAAGCTGTGTTTTAGAATGACTCTGGACCCTTGAATGATCTGAGTATCCCTGTGAGCATAGGAAATGACGGAATTGCCCTTAGTTGACCCCGGTTTGGGTCGTTACAAAATTGGTATCAGAGCTTTAGGTTCGAAAACCCAAGGACGACGGGTAGGGTTGACCCAGGTTGAGTTAGAGTTGAGATTGACAGTATTGCATGCTTATGTAGTTATAGTTTATTTAGTTAAAAAGCACGGCTTGCTATTACGTGTTTACATGCGAATCGATTATAAGACTTATAAAATGGTGATTAAATTTAAACATGCTAAATGATAATGTGCTTATTTTTCTTAAGTCATTGTTTAATGAATGTGAAAACATGCCTATTTGCTAGATGCTTATGTGAAATTTTTTGTATGATTAATGAAATGGTTAAATCTGTTTAAAGCATGCTTAATTGCTATATACATATATGTTTAAATGTTAGTATGTGTATTTCATGACTATAATTATTAAGTGCTTAATTGTCTACTATTTATTGAGTCCTTGCTTAGTAAATGTACGTATGACTAATGCGTTTCATTGTTGATGGGTTTGAATGTTCGTGGCGGTGTTGTGTGTTGGGTTACGAAGGGTTCTAACCCACGTATATGGAGAGCTTAGTCATTCCTATGTTTCTGAACGTTTTAGTTCTTATCGAACGGATAATGTGAGCACCATAGCTCGTGGATTGAGTTACTTCATGTATTCTTGTTTTGATCGTTTAGTTGTCTTTGTAGAACCGTGTTTGAGGACGACGTAGTGAGATGGATCCAGATGAAGTTGGACAGCGAGCAAGTGAAGGGCCATCCTAACCAGACAGGGTTTCAATAGGACAGGGTCGAGATAGAGAGACGGATGATAATCCACAAGTACCGGTGGATGATATCTTATTAGCAGGGGCTGTAGCCTCAACCTTTCAGAATTTAGCGAATACCACATCTCCTCAAGTGGTACCACAATCGGCTATTCAGCCATAGGAGACGGAGACGAAGCAGAATCTTAGGTACCTGATTCAGTTTGACAAAATCGGCTATTCAGCCATAGGAGACGGAGACGAAGCAGAATCTTAGGTACCTGATTCAGTTTGACAAACTCATGAGAGTAGCATTTGAGGGAGGTCCAGATCCGTTGGTAGCGGACGATTGGTTAAATGAAGTTGAAAAGCATTTCAGGGCAATAGCCGTGCCCGATGATCAGTTGAAGATCACCCCAGCCACGTATAAGTTTGTTGGCAACACGGCAGTATGGTGGAAGACCATGACTAGCGCACATGATATTGACAGTATGAGTTGGGATGCATTCAAGAGTCTTTTCTTTGATAAGTATTTCCCGCAGACTAAAAGACGGGAATTGAGGACGCAGTTTGACGGGCTTGAACAAGGTGACATGGTAGTGACAGAGTATGAGAATAAGTTCACTTCTCTTTCACGTTTCGCTACAGATGTGTTAGGGATCGAAAATAAGAAGACATGGCAGTTTATATACGGTCTAAATCGTTTAATTAGGCCGGGGGTGACACTTTTGGGATTAAAGAATTATTCGGAAGTGGTTACGAGCTGATGGCAGAAACAGAAGCCAAAGATTGGCAAGAAATGAGTGGTATTGTGGGTTCTTAGGAACGAGGTACAAATGTGGGTACTTCTTCCAAGAGCCAGGACAGGAAAAGGCACAGAGGTGCTTCATTATTTTCTCAGGAGCAGCAAACGACAGGTGTTACTCCTATTGTTGGTGTTTCTTCAAGGTCCTTTAGGACGAGTGTGATGTGTTATCAATGTAGACAGCCAAGACACAGCAAGGCAGAGTGTCCTCTTGAAAGACCTAGTTTCGGAGTTTGTTTTCTATGTGGTCAGCCGGGCCACATGAAGAGGGATTGTCCACAGAGGAGATGAGATATTACTGTGATTGATTATGATGTAACGGGGGGTTACCTGTGACTGTGATGTAACGAGGGCGACCTGTGACTGTGATGTAACGGGGGGTTACCTGTGACTATGTAAAGGGGATACCTGTGAGTTTTGTAATGAGGGCTACCTGTGAGTCGTGTCGTGTTGTAACGGGGGCTACTTGTGAGTCGTGTTGTGTTATAACGGAGGACACCTGTGAGTCATGTCGTGTTGTAACAGGGGAAACCTGTGAGTCGTGTTGCACGGTTGTCTGTGAGTCGTGTTGCATTATTGTCTGAGTCGTGTCTTATAGTTATCTGGGAGTCATGTCGCATTATTATATGTGCGTCTTGTCATGTTGTCGTCAGTGCGTCGTGTTGTGTTGTAACGGGAGTTAGCTGTGAGTCGTGTTATGTCGTAACGGGGAATACCTGTGAGTCTGGTGCAGTAACGAGAATTACCTGTGACCATGTAACGGGGGATACCTGTTAGTTCTGTAACAGGGGATACCTATGAGATTGGGTGTGACAGGAGATGCCTGCACACTGTTGTTGTGGTAATAGGGGCTACCCGTGAGTTTGGGTAGATGCCTGTGCACTTTTTGTAGGCATCTCCTTAATTTGTAAGCTTATACCAAACCCAAATAATTTAAATCTTAATAGGCATACGCAAACCCAAGTGATTTAAATCTATAATAAAATCACACTTATTCAATTTTTAAGCTTATTCCCTTACTATTGTAAACATTGACACTCCTTAATTTGTCAAAATAAATATTAATAATAGATTTTTATTTTAATTCAATTTAGGGTACCAATCAAATATATAATTATATAATCTTATTATCTTATATAATAATATTATTAAGAAAATTTTATATTTTTAATTACAATATTGTATTTTTCTTTCATTTTATTTTATTTTATTTTGGTTGAATTATATTACACTCGACCAACATTGCACCTGCATTTTACAAGTACGATAATAAATTCATTATATAGGACACATGATTATTATCCGTTCTTTTATTTATTATTATTATTATTATTTTCTCATTTAACTAATGTTTTCATTTCATTCATTTTCCATTGGACCGAACAAAGCCCTAGCGATCTTTGATATTACAGAAACCTCGTAGAAAAGTGAAGTGCAATTATCATCTCCCTTACAAGATTGTTTCCAAAAGGAATTGATTAGGACACCCATAATCTAAAATTAATACTTAACAAATTCTACCAAAAATTGAGTGATTCAAGCTAAATTAACAATACAATTAATAATAAGATATGAAAATAAGTATCAAGGCATAAAATGTCATAATTTATTATTTTTTAGTATCGAGGCATAAAATGTCAGAATTTGTTCCTCCTATTTATTATCTTGGTCGTAAATCATAAATAATTAATTGACGAAAAATAAATAAATTTCAATCATTCATCCTTACTTAGGCATAAAATGTCATAATTTATTATTTTTTTCTCAAATAGTCCAATGAAAATTACTAATTCATGATTATATATAAGTAACCTTTATGCTAGACCCCAAATACAATCAATTGTAGTCTATGGTTAAGTACATGAAATTAACAAACTGGAACATGCATTTAAAATTGTTTAAATATTTTATTCAGTTAGTATGAACATCAAACAAATTTAAAAATTGAAAACATAGAGTTACAAGACTAACTTACGAAGGCTTTCCTCTCAGGCTCTCAGCCAAAGTTGAGAGATTAGAACTCAAATAAATAATAAAATAACAACTATAAAACAAGGCATCATGAGTAGAAGATCTTCTGTATTTTATTTGTCACTTGCATAAGCCTCCCAGCTTTGCTTCTTAAGAAAATGCACGGCCTTTAGTGCTCTTATAACAGCTTCCATTTACAATTCAAAAAGTGGCCAAGTCAACCGCAGTGCAATCATGAGTCCATTGACTACAGTAAGACAATATAATTTTCATTATCCATAAGGATTCAATCCAAACAGGTAATAATTCAATCACCAAAAATTCCACATGCACACTAATCAAATCAAAATCAAAACATATTGTAGAGGTAATTATTTGTAAAAGCTGAAGATAGGGCAAGAGGATATGCCAAAGTTGAGTTGTCGATCATACAATATTGATCAACAAATGAAACTCAAGGAATAAATTTGAAATGAATAGACAAAAATTCAAAATGCAGGAAAAGCAATCAGTACCTTATTTGCCAATCATATGCAAGTTAACCTCTTCTTGATTGCTAATGCCAAGGAGGCAAACTGATTTCTTGATAGAAGATATGCCGCAGATACTATCATTGCTGGGGGTCTAGGGGTTCTCGAAAAGTTAACACTTATAGCAACACGATTTGTCTTTTTATCCATGAGCGGGAATGTAACGTATGACCGTGACGAAGGTGTAAAAACAAGGGGCCCATATTCGATGAATGTTCTAAAAGTTTTATATATGACCGAACTCTGTTCAAAAATACACAAAAAGCATACTTGTTAAGGCTCAAGGTATACACTAAAGCGCCAAAGGTCTCCTGGAGCCCAAGCGCAACGCACAATACAAGGCAAGAGACTGATAAAAGGCGCATGTATGATAAAGAAGCATATTAAAGATTAATTTAATAAAAATTATTGAACTATGCAACACATACTAGTCAATATCAAAATAAAGAAATCTTTCCAACATTTCAATGATGTGCAAAAATCATATCAAAATAATAATTCTATAAAAATGGGATTTTTGACCTATCAAGCTAAGAGGATCTGGTAAACTGATGTTGCATAAATCATTTCTTAGGCATATAAATTTAGTAAATTAGATGTGATTACAAACGTAAAACAATAAAAAGCTATGATCAAGTAGACATTAAACATATACAATCATGTTTATTTAGAATCAAAATGAATGCAATTAATGTAATAAGTCAACCATAAATCTATGAATTTGTCAAATATATCATAAAGTCAAACAATATGATCCATTAAATATGATCGTGATATTATACAAAACATTTTAATTTAATGGTCATTAAATAAAGGACGTAAAATGAGAGAGTCTGGGGGCTTGGGCTTGGCCTTTAGTAGGTCGAAGCACTCTTAACTGAGCCTTGACAAGCCTGGGGCTTTTTTGGATACTAGGCACACTTTTAATGTTGATCAACATTCCCACTTTGTTACTTCTTTATCCAAGAAAAAAAAAAATTAATGAAACAAAAATTACAAGTACACATACAAGGGTACCAATATTTCTCTAAAAGTGAGTCCAACTCATTGATAGTTTGGCATTCCACTGTCGTAAGGATTTAATTGGTAATATTGTTGAAATAATAAAAAAATGGAAGAAAGACATCCTCAACATCCCCGACTTGCTACTTCTTTATCCCAAAAAAGAAAAAGAAAAAAAATACATTTAATGAAACAAGAATTACAAGTAGACAAGGTTACAAAAATTTCTCTAAAAGTGAGTCTTACTAATTTAATGTTTGACATTCAATTGTTGTCAACAGGCTATCACACATAGAACCTTTGGATTAAATGAGGTTGGAAGGAAAACAAAACACGTGACTTTTGGTGCTCATATATAGCCAAAGAAATTTGCTAATTGTAGAAGTTATACATATATCTTTTTCCAGAATTTCAAGCAAATTGTATAAAACAATAAAATGAAAAAAGTGGACAAGTCCACCGGATAAAATCTCTAAGTGAGAGACCAGGCCCAATTAGAAACCACCACTTATAAATGGGAATACGATACAAAAAAAGCCAAAATAAACCCAAGCCCAGTAACAATTCTCAAGCCGATCTCAAGTCAAGAGGCTTCCTTGGAGGATGGCAGGAGGAGGGGGAGATACCCCAGATGAGCAAAACACGACAAGATTGGGGTGAATCTTTCAAAAACCCACCCATGAGCCTCTCTATGATGGAGGAACAGATTTGGTCCAAAACATGGTTCAGCGAGGAGATCTTGCCTCTGAAAACCCAAGCATTTCGTTTGATTTCCAGTGGTGGGATGACGCATTAAAAGACCTATCAATATTGAACTCATGATGTTGGCTGACTCAGTAGACTTAGTAATATGCTACATACAAATAATTTTCTGGTGTTCTTTTATCAACAAAATCATATAGAACCATTGCCCTGAAAGGTAGAGGAACATGTATATGGTTTATAGATGAAAGGGGTCAGAATTAGTTTGGTTTGGGAAGTGATCGATTGCTAGATTGTAGATACAAAAACTTTTCCGCACTAATGAAGTAATGCAACCCTAAGGTTACCTAGATTCAGATTATTAAGAACAATTTTTTGGGGTATAAATAAAAAATTGTGGAGAATATCGTGGAACGGCTCTTAATAGACACAAGACCAAATCTAAGATTATGTAAAATGCACCTCTAGCCTTGAAAGCTTCATGCTTTGATAGACTAAAAAAAAGGGATATGATAGAGGATGCAGAAAAGTACGTAAAAGTATGAAAGTAAAGAGTAGATTTCAATAATATTGTAATGAGAGCCTGGAATAGTCAGGACTATGCAAATGGCCACATAAGACACTTCCAAAACCCAATTGAACATACGGGAAGAAAGAGAATAATTCAATATAAGATGAATAGAGGGAAGAAGAAGAGTAGAGAGAGGCAGCAAAAACATTTGGAATTTTTCCAATCAACCCAACCATAGTTTTTGGGAATGGGCAAGAAAAAGATAAGCCACGAGATCATCACCCGCATTTTCCAAACCTCCAGTGCTAAGAACCTATGTAGGTAGAATCAAAGCATCATATAACCAACCACACATAGGTGATCCTCAAATGCCACATAAAAAAGCTGATAATATAGTAGCATCAACCTCGGATATGAGAAACACCAAAAATGAGTGTTTGCTAGGTCGGGAGGAATGATAAGCGGATGGGAGAGATATGAGTTGCTCAAGTATTCAAGAATATAATTCTTAACAGCACACCAAAAGATTAAAATTTATACTTCAAAATATGTGAAGCAAGAATTTACCATTCCTAATGAGAAAAACATCAGCAAGGACAAACTACTATCTATGTCTCTTACCTTTTCCTTGGAAAAACTGTTAGACAGTGAGGGAGGTGGCATCCAGAGATCCTTTGAATAAGACCTCAATGTTAAACTCTCTTCTGTGTAAAACAAAACATAACAAAATCAGACTAGTTTAATGGGTTTTTTCTGGAAAATTCCTTTGAAGCATGAGTCAGTTGAAGTGGAAATCAACCAATCACCTAATTCTTCCGTTGCCTCTTTGATACTTTCACTTTCACTATGGCATTTTAATGTCACGAAAAAATAAACATGCATTAGAATACTAAAGCTTATTCACAATCAAATCACCTAAAGAAAGAGAGATAAGAAGATACAAAATTTTCACTGATCAACTGAACAAAGTAATTAGGTGCCAAACCAGTCAATGTCACTTAAATCAACATCTTTGTCGTTTATAACAAACCCGGCTCTCTCAAGCAGCGCCTTAATGTCGTTGACCACCTTTTCTTTTGGCATCTATAAGAAAACATTAAGGGAGTAACTTTGTGGAAGTGTTGGGTCAAAGCTTAAAACATGAGGAAACTGGTAGTAATACGAGTTGAAAGATGACCATTTTCATTCAAAAGGAAAAACAACTAGCATTCACAACACCCCTGTGGTTTGCCTCTTTGACACCCAATTCTTTCATAGTGACACCTCCTCAGATTCGCTCCATTAGACAAAGACACTCCATGAACGCTCTCGCACATGGTAAAATGACCTGAATGCCCTTTTACTAGTGAAGTGACACTTTGAATAGTTAAATTACCAATTAACCCATTCTAACTAATTTTAAATGTCCAAAATAACCTCTTCATCTCAACCACCTACCCACAATGCTGCCACCACCACCCACAGCCACCACCTCTTCTTTCTTCTCTTCCTTCTCTCTCTAAAACACATGCATTGCAATCCTCTGCAACCACTACTCCATGGTCGAACCATCAAGGTCCAGACCACCCTCAATCACCCCCAATTGAAGTCTTCACCATTCAAGATGGCCCCATATAACCCCTTCACTGACAAAACAAATAACTAATGAACCAATGAAGGCAAGTCATGCAATTTCATCAATTTCATTCCACCAAACACCTTCTCTAAAACCTCTCTATGCCTTCCCTTATCTAGAAACGAAAAGTTCTCTCCATAATGTTTATATTTATAAAAATTTCCTCCATTTATGAGGAAAAAAAAAAGTTCTCTAAAAAATGACACCATCTTCACCATCAAAACCTTAAACCAATCACAACCAAAACACGAAAGAAACAAAAATTCTCCAAAAATTGACGCCATCTTCACCATCAAAACCATAAACCAATCACAACCAAGCAACAATCACAAAGCACGGGCAGACGTGGCTTGCCAAAGCCTACATCCACAATGAAATTCTGGCGAAAGCATTCGCTATGCAAAAATCTGGTAGGTACAAGTTTCAACCCCCAAACCCTAGCTCTCGCTCTCGCTCTATTTTCTACAATTTTCAATGTCTATCTATATCCCACTCCAAACCCTAAACGCCCATTATATATCGGGCTACAAGAGGGTACTAAACGGGGCGTAGTTGTGACCCCAGAACCAAACTCAGGCCACAACATCACAGATTCTAAGTAATTGAGTTGTCAATAGTGGTATAGGCTAGGGTTTCAGAGGTGTGTAGTGGTTGGGTGGTTAGAGTGGTGGAGTATGGCAAAGGGAGTGATGGAGGTGGGTGGTTGGAGTGGTGGAGGTGGACTATTGAAAGAGAGAGTGAGAGAGAGAAGAAGGGTGGAGGAGAGAGTGTCCCAATTGAAATGTGTAGAGAGGGATGTGACAGCTGATTGTGGTGGTGGAGGAGAGAGAGACATAACTGAGGTGTATAGGGGTATTTTTGTCTGCCTCGGTTTCGAGGTCGAGCAAGGCTTCAATGGCGGATGAGTTGGACTCAACTGAGTTGGGGTTCGGGTTGGTATGTGATTGATGCGAAGCTTGTTTTAATGGTGGTAGTGGGGTGAAGGTTGCGGTGGTGAGTGGGGAGAGAGAAAAGGAAGGGGCAGGTGGTGGTGGGTGGCGATGGTGGGTGGTGTTGGAAATGGTCGGTGGTGGGGTAAGCTGAAAATGTGAGAAAAGCATTAAAAATGGGTCTTTTGGTTTTAGGGGCAAAGTAGTCTTTTGGTTTCTCTATTTTTTATAATAAAAAAGCATTAAAAAATTAGGGCAAATTAGACATTTCACACATTTTTTATGTGGAAAAGCTAACGGGAGGTGTGACTTTCAAAAACATTGCCAAGTTCTATCTGGGTGACAAAGGCAAACCACATGGGGGTCAGTGTAATTTTTAATAGGTATAAATATCATAACCAAATAAATCTCTACACAATTTCTGGAAGAAAAGAAAAAAAGTTTAAATCTATGCATGTTGCAAACAATATGAGAATTACAATAAATCGCAAGAAACAAGCACAAAAACCATAAAAAACACGGATCATAACAACTTACTTCACTCTGTACTAACTGCCTGTATTTTTCAAGAGCAACACCAGCCTTCTCAAACACTTTGAGCAACAATATTCCCCGCGTCATCGCTGCCTTAATATCGTTAAGCGACCGAACCAACTTACCAATCTTATTAATTCCGAGCAACTTGCTTTCATCTTGAGTTAGTCCTACAATCTCTTCAACCAACTTATCATTCTTGTGACTTCCGATCAATTTGATTTCATCTTCAGTTAGTCCTACAATCTCTTCAATGATGCTTTTGCGTATTGACATGCTCAAAGGGATTAACTTTTCTCGAGCAACCATCAGTAGAGTAGCCATCTCAATAAGTTCTCCCTCCATAGCATAATGAATAAATATTTTATCAACCTCCTTTGTGTTCCATGCCAGCAACCTATTAATTTCTAATGGTACTTTCTGCCATATTTAACCATATTAAGCAACAAAAAAAAAAAAAGAAAAAGATCAGACATCTCAACCCATTCAAATGTATAGAAAGTAAACACTATTTGTAATACACATAAATTTTGTCTAAACAAACCATTTGAGGCAGACAAAGAACAACGATCAATTTGAAGATAGATTGTTTTGGGGTCCAATCAATCAAGGATCGATGATAACTGCATCAGCCACATTAAAAATCCAATCAAAAAAAAGGGAAAAGAATTAAGTAGTTAAGAATGATGTATTAAACCTTGATCTAAGTTCATATTATAGGCCCCATGAAAGAAATAAGAAAGAATAATTTTATATTATAATATCTGTCTTCTACCTTACTGTTTCAAGTGATACATTGAGAGGAAACAAGTCGCCCCTAAATTTACCCTCTATGGTTCTGACATCAGTCTGAGCTCCATGGCTAAGCAATGTCGCAATCATTTCATATGATAAACCATTAGCTGCTAAATGCAATGGATATAATCCATCGTTAAAGGGAATATTGAGATCAGCGATGAAACCGGTCTCCCCTCCGAGAAAAGCGATGGCACAATCTATTACGCCAGACTTACAAATTCCATGCAAAATTTTTGGTGGGCAATATTTAGCTTGATAATCAGATGATTCCTTCTTTCTAACTTCTTCTGTTTTTGGTACTTTTCTTTGAAATAGCTCCTTCATAAAAGAGAGAAATAGAGGTTTGTCATCATAACAAAGAATCTCTGCCAATGTTGCTATGACATCATGACCAATTTCTTCCTTTAGATGAGCATATCCAACCTATCATTATTTGAACAACACTAACATCAACACGTGAAGATGACCACAATAAGATAATAGCGCATATCATTAAAATAAATGCACGAACAGTAATATAAGTACGAAAAAGGGAGCCCCGATCTTCTGCTGTAATCTCCCTTGCTGTAGTGGTGCCATAGGGTTTTTCAACACAATTACACCTGTTTTCAACATATTTACATCTACTTATTTTTATTGCGTTGAGAAACAGATGTAATAAGTTGAAAAATCACAGTTGAAAAGCAGATGTAATATGTTGAAAAACCATCAGCACAGCAAAGGATATTATAGGTGAGGATCCAAGTGCATGAAAAGGGAATGTGAATGTATTCAAGTTTAAGTAGACACCTCAGACATCCTTGCCCCAATTACAGTATCTGCTCTGAATTCTGACCTCCTTAAAAGGCGCTCCAATATAAGAATAACCTTCAGAAGGAAAAAAAAACATAATTGATTGAAAGTTTTTCAAATAAACAACTAAATCACAATGGGGAGGCAATCAAATAATTATATACCGTACTTCAATTTAGTTTATAGTGCAAAATAACTACTTGAGAATGGAATCCCAACATTCATCGGATACACAAAATGGTTTATGCACTTGTGTATAAAAAACATAAAAGCTCGCATACGAAACAAGAGGGCATTACTGTCCTAGTTGATAGAGCACCCAGCTCCTCGAGCAGGTACGGCCGAGTTCAAATCCCCACTCCACCTAGTTTGCGAAGGAAAAAAAAAAAAAAAACAAAACAAAACAAAACATATGAAACAAGACAAACTTAATCCCTACTACTCGCGCCTGTTAAGGCTACATAAGCCGACGCTATGTATTTGCTAGAATCAGATCTATACCAAATCAAACTAGGTAGAGAATATCTGAATCCAAAAGCACAAATATTTCCAACAGAGATGAAATGCAAATTGTTCCAATGTAGTCAAGGGCATAAAACTTCTGCACAATAATCATACAATTTCGGAAAAAAATTTGAAACAAATATAGGCCAACGAAGAGATATCAGAGACCAAAGGAACGCCGATATGGGTGTGGCGGACTAGTTTCGATCTAGTGGCAGTGGTGCTCATAAAATTTCAGCACAACAATCATATAATTTTGGGAAAAAAATAAAGAATACTGCCCAACGAAGAGATATCAGAGACCAAAGGGGACACCAATATGGGTGTGGGGGACTAGGTTCGATCTGGTGGTTGTGGTGTAGTGGGAGCAAAGAAACCCACCTGGTGCACAAGGTCGATCGCTCTTGGGGGAGAGGCACGTGAAATAGAAGCTGGGGATGTAAGTTTTGAAATAACATAAATAGCCACCTTTTATGAGCTGACATGCTCTAATGAGGTTATTTTTTCCAACAATAAAATTTGGAGGAGAAATCGTCCCCTTCAAGGCGGGGAGGTCAGCTTTACAGTATATATCTGATTCATTGTTGGGGTTGATAAGTCGGGTTTAAATATAGTTCAGGACCGCCTCAGGTTAGGTTTCGAATTGATCCACACAGTAACTCGAGCTCCAATCAAAATGAAATGGGGTTGTTACTTTTCAAACCAAGCTCGAACCAAATTGCAAGTTAAACAGCCCGCCCAAAAACTTTGGAACTAGGCTCGAGTTTGTCCGAATTAGGCCCACCCAATTTGCACCCCTAGCTATATTTACTATGGAAAGCTAAGTGACCTCACTGAAATTTCGATATTTGATGGGTAATTAGTTGGTTATTACCAAGTGAAACTAATAGAGAGAGTGCTCTTACTACTACCTTTCTTCTTCTTGATTAATTACAACGTACATAGGGATGGCAAAGGGGGCATGAGTACCTTCCCCCTCCGGTTTAAGTCTCCCCACCAAAAACTGTTTAGCAAAACCCCCCTCACCGTCCCATTTAAGTTTCACTGCCCCGCCCCATTTAAGTTTCAATTTACTGATACACTAACATATAATCAAAATGAATGATCATCAATTTACTGAGACACTAACATATAATCAAAATGAATGATCAAGTATGCGTTCTGTGAGCTTAAATGATAAATGAACTACTGTAAAAATAAAAAATTATATGTGTTCTGTTAAAGTAATTTTATGAGATCAGAATCATTAGATCTATGTAAAAGATAAAGAAATTTCATAAGATCGGATGTATATTCTGTTCGAATTGAACCCTTAAATCATAATCAAACACAAATATCACCATCTGTAATGTAAAATAAAGATTTACCCATTTTTCAAGTAATAAAATGGTGTAAATCTATACGCACATTAGACATATAATATATAGACAGCCACTGTCCACCCACAGAGTAAGTTCACTAAGTTTTACTTTATGTATACCACACGCAGCAAGTTCACTAAGTTGTACTTTGGGTATACCACGAACAGCAATGGATCTTTAACTTTGAAGAAAAAAAGAAAAAGAGAGAGAACTGACCGTAGGCCGTAAAACCAGTGGGTGGTCGGTGAGGTTGACGAAGCCGGCTTCGGTGGCAGGCCGTGAGGGATGAGAGAGTGAGGGTTTTTGGTAATCTCTAGAACGGCTGTACTATGAAGCGATGAGATTTTTTTTTTTTTTTTTTGGTAAAGTATACAAACACCCCCACGAGGTTCGGCACAAAGACAAGTAGATACAAGTTAGTCTATTTTTGGACAATCACATCCCCTGGTCAAAAACTTGATTCAAACCGCTCCTTAAATTTTGTAAAAAGTCAAGATTGCCTTATAATATTTTATTAATTTAAATTATAAAATATCAAAATTTTTAAATGACTCTTTTACCCTTATACATTTATTACACCAATACATACATATATATATATATATATATATATTTATATTTATATATCTATATGTATATTGTAAACCTATCAAACCCAGACCCGGCCATGACACCACTTCCACACCCTCTAACCACCGGTCGACGAGTGGTTCACCATTTCCTTCATTCACATGTTGGTTACTCCTTTCACCGACACCTTCATCCTCCAAGAACCCCTCAAATAACTCCTCAGCCGCCGCCGCAAGTTTCTGGCGTGAAGCGGACAGATCAAGGATTGACAGAGACATATTCCCTACGCCGGCGTCTTTGATTCTTGACGGCGGCAGAGAGTTGATGTTTGAGTGTAGAGCGAAGCTTTGAGTATGGAGTGATTGCTGAAGGAGGGGCGTTTGGCTTGACTCTACAATTGGTTCCGTCATCTTTAGATCTGGATGATGTGGACAGTTGAGGATGAAATCGGTGGTTTCACCGCCGATAAGGGTTGCTGTGAGCTCTGTATGTGAGAGAAAGCTTGTAGATGTGGCCGTTGTTGGTAGGAGGTGAAGCTGGAGCAAGGGTTAGCAAATGTGGCTTCGGTCGGTTTCTAAGGCCGAGAAATTGAGGTGGTGAGCACCGGCGGCAGATGGTGAACACCACAACCTCGTCTGTAACTTACAAGGGTTTCATGAAGGAGGTGGTGAACCCCAGCGACAGATGGTGAGCTTCGAAAAAACATCGCTGAAGAAGGAGCGCGTGAAGGTGTGATGATGATGAGCGTGAAGGGTGAACCCCGACGGCTGAGGTGTGATGATGTGACGGCGGTGGCGGAGTTTGAGGTGTGATGTTGGCGACGGCGGAGGGGTGATGTTGATGGCAGTGGCAGTATATGCAGTGTGTGTATATACACATACAGATGCTTCTGGGTTTCGTCGGCAATTTCTTTCGCCGATGCTTCTGGGTTTCGCCGCCACTGTCGCAGTCATCGCCGCCGCCACCCCCACTGTCGCAGCCATCACCACAATCTCTCTCCTATCTTCTTCCTCTCTCTCTCTCCTTTTCACCTCATCTCTTCAACTAAGGCCTCCCCTCTCTTCCCCCTCTCTCTACACCCACCACTACAACCGCAGCCACAACCACTATCCATCTGATCTCCCTTCTCTCTCCTCTGGTGAACTGTACAAGGCGGGTTCGGGTTTGGGTTTGGGTTTGGGTTCAATCAAAGGGTATTTAAGTCAATTAAAATGTTAATTTTATTTGAAAGGGTAATAAGGTCAATTCACCATCTTCAGGGTCTCTTTGTCCATTTTTCAAACTTGAAGGGGTGTCATTGTCCAAAAACAGGCTAACTTTCCTCTGCTTGTCCTTTCCTCAAACCTCAGGGGGTGTCAATGTACTTTACCCTTTTTTCTTTTTTTTTGGGTTAATTACAATGACACCCCCCGAGATTTACCTTAATTACAGCCATATATAACTTAGTGTTTTTTTGAACAATGACACCCCTTCTTAGTTTTATATCAAATTTTGGCAGCGAAATGTCTACATTGCCCTTCAATATTTAATTAATATATGATGAGAAAATATTAGAATCGTAAAATGACTAAAATGCCCATCTTAGAAAACCCAACCACCACAACTCTCTCTATCGTTTCTCTCTCTAACCTTTCAACTCCTTTGTCATCACTCTCTTAACCCTTGCAGATCTCACCTCTCTTATGTAACCCTAGCCTTATTTTCAACCGACAAAATCTCTTTATACCCTTACCCTTAGATCATGACAAACCCTCTCGAAATCCGACTGACTTACAACGACGACCAGCACCACCGACCATCGTCGACGATCAAATTGGCAGCGATGATCTTGACGTCTTGGCCAAGGTGATCATGGCTTTGGTGTTGAAGAGATCATGGTCGTTGATCTGATGAAAACGATCATCCCGATTGCCCGCATAGGTGGTCTCCTCGAGCTCTCGATGAACCTCTCATGTCATCTCGTTGGATGCATTTTCTCAAGATCAAGGCATGTTTTTGCGAAATCATTCCACAGCTAGCTCATAGAACTCCAATGAGAAGGAAGTCGCAGTAGGGGAATTCTCAAGTACGACAATTAGGAATTCTTCGTAGAATTAACAAACCTGCCTAACAAGTTAAACCCAAGTTTGGTTTGATACGTTCTTCACCAAAACTAGGTGTGTGACCCCAAATGCCTCATGGGTTTCTTCGATTGGTCTCGTCTCTAAATGGGTATCCCTTAATTCTTGCGATTTTACTCTACAATTTGTATTTATTTACGCATACAAATTAAGTTATTGAGTGAATGATTGAAAGCGATAAGCCCGTTTCGGTAATTTTGGATTCAATTGTTACTTGTTATGCGAATCTTGTGTTTATAATGGAGGTAATGGTTGGGGTTCTAGAGAGGTGAAAGCTGAAGTGGGTTTATTGAGATAAACATGTGATCATAGAGGTATAATTTATGTGTGGAGAGCATTTAGCATAAGGATCTAAAGCAAGAAAATGCAAAAAAAGAGAATGGGAGAATCTTCCTTGATCGTCGCCATCATAGGATTCTCACCACCATGTCTGTTCTGTGTCGCCATGATCTCGTCGCTTTGTCTACGTTGGAATTGCATCACCACACGTCGCTGCTAGTCGCCAAACAAGATCTGGTCGACGTCAAAATCGCTTCACCATCATGCCAACACCACTGCTACTCAATGTTGCCAGAGCATCGTCACCGTTGCTGGAGCCCGAGAGAGAGAGAGTTGCAGAAGTATATGGGTTTCTCGTTGAAATGATAGAGTTTAGACTTTATTAACTAATCGTTTGATATGGATGAATTGTTTAGAGTGAGTGAATGTAAGTCACCGAGCTCGGCAAGGACAGTTCCGGTGAATTTAGTACCTGAAATGATGAGCCTTGAATCAATGAAGATAAATTCAAATTCAATGGAAGTTGTAAAGGGACTGATTGGATATTGATTTTGGATTGTGGGTGGAGAGAGATAGGGAAGATGAGGGTATTTTTGTCCTAAAATGGCCTTTTGATACATTTTCTTATTTTAATTAAAAAATTAGGGTAATTCAAAAGCTAAAGGGTAATAACGTCATTTTAACTTGTGTCAGACCTGGCAGGAGTGTCTTTGTTAAGTTTATGAAATCTGAAGGGGTCTCATTGTTCAAAAAGAGGTTAACTTGTATATGGCTGTAATTAAGGCAAATCTCAGGGGGTGTCATTGTAATTAACCCCTTTTTTTTTTATGGAGAAACAATGAGATATTGGTTCCTATTAATCTATTACCATATCGTGTGTGTGCATATATATATATATACACTATTTTATTTTATTTTTAAATACAAAAATAAAATTTTAATGAATTATAAATATGTTATAATTTCATTAGTTGAGTTTAAGCTTTTGGAATACGCACTTAATAAAGTTATAAATAGCCATTTGAATATCATTGAAATAAGTATATTTAACATGCAAAGGAAAACCAAAAAAATGGAGTTTATATGTTTTAACTTGAAACTCAAGACTTGCAATTTATTCTTCAATCTTTGTTCTAATCAACTTTCTTTCTATCACGATCGCTTCTTTCCTTTTAACATCTTTAGTTTATCAGGTAATTATAATTCTAAATTTCTTGTTTTCAAATTCAATATTTTTGTTTGTTTTTTGTTTGTTTCATTGTAGATTTTTTCTATTTTGTGGGAATTTTGAGGTCAAACTTTTAATTCCTATCTCTTTATTCTAGTTCTAAAGTATAATGAACTTGTTATACCAGCTCTTTTCCACATATGATTGCATACATATATTTTCTCATCATTTAAATATATTTTTGTTAAATGTCATTTCTTGCTATAAATTATAATTGAGAAAGTGTGTACTTCTATCTCAAAATGTCTTCTTTTGATTTGGAAATCATCTGCATCCAATCCAATCAAATGAATATATGCTTAATCTTGAGCTAAGAGCAACCAAGAATATAAATGGTATATTTTGAGGTGTTTGTTTCTTTCTTTCTTTCCAACTCTTTTTTTTTCTTCTAGTTTTTTATTTATTACTTAACATATTTTCTCTAGATTTATGAAGTTAATATTTACTTGTGATTCATAGAGTTAATATACAGATACATATACATATTGTGAATTATCCAAATTAATTTTTTTATTATTTTTTAAAAAATTTATCTAAAATTCATTTATAATATAAAATGTTTATTTTATCACGTGCATCGCACGTGGATTACACTAGTATATATATACATATGGGCAAATTACACAGACTTCCCTTGGGTTCTGGAAAGACCATTTGGCATTTATTCCTTTTACCACTCCCTCATATTGTGCTCAAAGACACTTATATTGTTTTGTTTTCGATACTAGATTTTATAAAAAAATAATTTTTTCCTTTTCTTCTATAAAATAAAAATTATATTAATTTTTCTTAAAGTTTGTCATAATTACCGAACCTTCCTTAAATTTTAAAAATTACTCTAACCCCCTAAAAACAAATCTTGTGACATGGGCCTCCCTTTTTAACAATCACCACTAGTCCATGACGAAAATTCAATTTGCTTTCAAACATTTTGAATTCTATCTCACTCCTAATCTATACATACATCCATATACCTATGTAAATCACCTCTTAAAATTCAAGTATACCTGCTCCAACACCATATTGCCACCTAACAACACAATGTTATAATTAATCATAAATAATGGGTGTTGTCTGTAATGAGGTGACTTATGAAGTTGAAATTATAGAAAAGAAAGAAAAAAAAATATTTGTTGCAAGGGTGGTGTGTGTTACAAGGTTTAGTTTTTAG